TAACACGTCAACACATTAACACGTCAACACATTAACACGTCAACACATTAACACGTCAACACATTAACACGTCAACACATTAACACGTCAACACATTAACACGTCAACACATTAACACGTCAACACATTAACACATGAACACGTCAACACATGAACACATTAACACGTCAACACATGAACACATTAACACGTCAACACAACACGTCAACACATCAACACGTCAACACATCAACACGTCAACACATCAACACATCAACACGTTAACACAGCAGGAAGAAATACAGTGAAATTCCTGAATCACTGAAACACATGGAGTGGACAGGGTGGTGCATCCGTCCATCAGCCGTCCATCTTATTAAATGTATTCCTTGAACTGTATCACTTTAACACTTTTTTAAAATAATTGTTTTTATTGTGTTGTTGTGGTTTTTTTATGGGTTTGTTTATTGTGCATAAGTTTGTACAGCACCTTGAGCTGCTTTTACTATGAAGTGTGCTTTATAAATGAATAAAAACTTAAACTTAAACATTCATCCATCCATCATCCATCCATCCAACATCCATCCATCCATCCATCTATCCAACATCCATCCATCCATCCATCCATCCAACATCCATCCATCATCCATCCAACATACATCCATCCAACATACATTCATCCATCCATCCATCCAATATACATCCATCCAACATCCATCCATCCAATATACATCCATCCAACATCCATCCAATATACATCCATCCATCCAACATCCATCTATCCATCCAACATACATCTATCATCCAACATACATCCATCCAACATCCATCCATCCATCCAACATCCATCCATCCAACATCCATCCATCCAACATCCATCCAACATTCATCCATCATCCATCCAACATCCATCCATCCAACATCCATCCAACATACATCCATCCAACATACATCCATCCATCCAACATACATACATCATCCATCCAACATACTGTACATCTATCCATCCAACATCCATCCAATATACATCCATCCACCCAACATACATATATCATCCATCCAACATACTGTACATCTATCCATCCAACATCCATCCAATAAACATCCATCCACCCAACATACATATATCATCCATCCAACATACTGTACATCTATCCATCCAACATC